GTTTGTGTTTTTCTAGATGTCTCCTCAGGGGTCATTTGGTGATATACTGAACACCACTCATCGCTATACGAACATTGATAGCAGCAGCAGCAGCAGCAGCAGCACGGGTGGAGGCGGCGCGCTGTCGTTTCTAACAAAGACCGATCCTGCTGATTTGCTGCTGCAGCAGCAACCCCCGCAGCAGCAGCAGCAGCAGCAGCAGCCGCATCCCCAACCCCACCCCCAGCAGCAGCAGCAGCAGCAGCAGCAGCAGCAGCAGCAGCAGCAGCAGCAGCAAATGGGGTTCTCCAGCAAGATGGAAAGGCTGCAAACGAACCCAGAGTTTCTTGAATTAGCAACAGCACTGGTGCAGCAAGCCTTAGGGGAGGGAGCAGCAAGCCAGCAGCAGCAGCAGCAGCAGCAGCAGCAACAGCAGCAGCAGCAGCAAATGCAGCCCATGCAGCAGCAGCAACAAATGCAGCCAATGCAGCAAATGCAGCAGCAGCAGCAGCAGCAAATGCAGCAGCCTATTCGAACTACATCTCAGGTATTTCTTTATGCATATATATATATATATACATATATACATATATATATATATATATACATATATATATATATATTATTATATGCATGCATGCATTTGCTGTTGTTTCTTGCTGCAGGTGCAGCAGCAGAACGCACCGCAAACAAACAGCGACAACACAACAGAGTTGCTGCAGCAGTTGCTGCTGTTGCTGTCAGAGAAGACAGCTGGTGGAGCTGCAGCAGCTGCAGCAGCAGCAGGAGCAGCAGCAACAGCAGCAACAGAAAAAACACACAATACGGGCATCATGACGAATGTGCCTTTCTATTAAATCACTGGATAAATACACAGCAGCAGCAGCAGCAACAGCAGCAGCAGCAGCAGCAGCAGCAGCAAATGCAGCAAATGCAGCAACAGAAGCAGCCAAAGAAGCAGCAACAGTACAAGCAGCCGCAGAAGCAACAGTAGAAACAGCCGCTGCAGCAACAGAAGCAACAGCAGCAGCAGCAACAGAAATAAAAGCAGCTGCTGCAACTGAAACAGCAATACCAGCAGCAGCAGCAGCACCAGCATCTGCAGCAACGGCAGCAGCTGTTGCATATGCAGCAGCTGCAGCAGCAGTACTTGAACAAGGAGCAGGTTGATGACCGCACAGTGCGCGTCTTTCTTATTAATTCCCTTCTCCATTGCTGCAGCTGAGGTGTATGTACACCTCAGCTCAGGTGTATGCATGCATGCATGCATGCATACATGCATGCATGCATGCATGTACACTGAAGCCCTTCTTTTTAGTTTTCTTTTCTCTTCTGTCTGCTTTCCTCCGCTTGCAGTTAAAACAAATCCCCCATTTTTACTTCATTTATGCAGCGGCAAAGCCCCAAACTCTACCTATGCATGCATGCATGCATGCATGCAGATTGCATGCATGCATGCTTATATATGCATGCATATATATATGCATGCGTGCATGCATGCATATTTATATTTAGGTGCAGCCATGTCTACTATATCCTTTGCATGCACACTGACATGCATGCATGCAGGAAGGCGCTTGCATGCATGCATGCATGCATGCATGCATTAAGACGCCTTGCCTGTCTGTAGCTGTACATACAGCCGAACTGTTTATCTCAGAAAAATTTGAGGGGTTTACTCCACTGATACCAGCAGCAGCAGCTGCAACAGCAGCAGCAACAGCAGCAATAGCTGCAAAGGAGGAGAAGCAACAACTAAGCAGCAAGACTACTAACTGCAGAGCAGCAGCAACTGAGTAGCAACAACAGCAAATGAGCAGCAGCAGCAGCAGCAGCAGCAACTGAGCAGCAGCAGCAGCAGTAATAGCAGCTAATATCAATCGTCTGCAAATAGATTAAAAAGATTCACAAGGATTTATATATCCAAAACCGAAAGAAGAAGAACAGCAAGGAGACACTCAAACGACAGAGCTGTCTGTCTCCTTCTTCTGTCTCCTCATGCTTAATGCATGCATGCATAATCTGCATGCATGCATGCATGCGTTAAGGCATGCATATGAATGCATGCGTCTGCATGCATGCATGCATATCAATATACATGCATCTGCATGCATACATGCATGCATGCATATGGATGCATGCGTCTGCATGCATGCATCTGCATGCATGCATGCTTTAATTTATGCATCTGCATGCATGTATGCATCTGCATGCATGCACACATCTGCATGCATGTGCATGCATACATGCTTTAAGATGTGCATGCATGCAGCCGCTAGAAAGCTGCAGATACACCTCAAAACGCAAACCACCGCAAGAGAGGGAGAGGCACTCACTTATAACCCTAAACCCTAAACCCTAAACCCTTTAGAGACAGCGGGCTAAAAGCACACCAGTCAAGCGCCGCCCCTACGAATCCTCGCTACTGCTGCTGCTGCTGCTGCTGCTGCTGCTGCTGCAGTTGATGCTGCTGCTGCAGCAGCAACTGCAGCAATCCGCGACCTGTCGCTTGAAAGAAAGAAAAAGGCGTCAGGGCTGTCTCCAGCAGAGACAAGAGGAGACAAGGCACAAAAATACGCCAGCAGCAGCAGCAGCAGCAGCAAAAGTTGCTGCTGCTGGTGCTGCTTCTGCTGCAACGCATGCATGCAAGTATCTTATGCGTACAGCCGGCGCCCCACAATGAGAAACAGAAGAAATGCACTCAAAATTAATAACACTACTGCATGCACGCAGCCCCTAAAACACCTGGGGCCTCCTCAAATGCATGCAGTTAAAGAAGAAGAGAAACAGATACATGCATGCATACATGCATGCATAAAGATAAATGAGAGAAACGCATGCATGCAGAGAAAGGAGCAGACAAATGCATGCATGCAAATTAATAAGAGAAGAAATGCATGCATGCATGCATGCATGCATGCAAAGAAAGAAGAAGAGCAGCATGCACATATGAAGTTTATAATGGAGGGCTGCTGCATGAGTCAGCGCATGCAGCCCCAAGTGCATGCATGCATGCATGCATGCGAAAGAAGAAGAAATCTAATAACAAGAAGACAAGAAAGACAAGATTAACAATACCACACTCAAACTAGCAGCAGCAGCAACTACTGCTGCTGCTGCTGCTGCTGCTGTTGCTTCCGTTGCTGCGCAATGGGTCTTGACTACCCCGAAGGGATAAATGAATAAACGGCTGCATTTTGAAACTTGCTGCTGCTACTGCTGCTGCAGCAGCAGCAAGCCCCTGCATGTTTGCTGCTCATGCAGCAACCTGAAATGATTACCCTCTGAGGCTGTTCTCCCCTTGCTGCTGCTGCAGCAGCAGCAGCAGCACATGCAACACTGGAGGCGTGGAGGCGTGGTCATCATAGCTACTGCGGCAGCAACAGCAGTTCCTGCTGCTGCAGCTGCTGCCGCTGCTGCTGCTTCGGCTTCTGCTGCACCGGTAGTAAAAGAGAGGGCCTTGTGCTGCAGCTGCTGCTGCTGCTGCTGCGGCATGCGTCTCCACGCAGCTGACTGCAGACAGCCCCTCAGGAGGACCACAGGGCGATCCTCACCGCAGCAGCAGCAGCAAATATATCAAGGTTTACGAGAAGACAAGAGAGACAAACCAAACAAACAACAAATTAATCAAAGCCACCCCCGTAAAGAAGGCCGAGCGCATGCAGCAGAAGAGCGAGAAGGCTGCAGATACACCCCAACACGCACACAAACAAACACACACTTCCATGCAGCAGCAGCAGCAGCAGGACGAGAAGCAGCAGCAGGAAGGGCAACATCAAGCAGCAGCAGAGGTAGCACCAAGCGCAAGAAGCAACAGCAACAAACAAGAGCAACTGCCGTAGCAGCAAGCAGTCAACAAAAGGAAGCAGCAGCAACAAGCAGCCAGCAGCAGGAAGCAGCACCAGCAGCAGCAGCAGCAAGTCGTACCTCAATGGAGACGTCTGTGGGGTGAGCAGCTAGCGAGTTGCTGCCGTTGCTTGGCATAGGCAAGCTGCTGTTGCTGCTGCTGTTGTTGCTGTTGCTGTTATTGCTGCTGCTGCGAGCAACGCGGCTGCTGCGTCTCAGTGTCAATGCCCTTGAGGCTTTGCTGCTGCTTTTGTCGCTGGTCGGGCTGTTGTTTGCTGCAGCAGCAGCAGCCGCAGCAACATCCACGATAGCAGCAGCAGGACTCCTGCGGCTGCGGCAGTACCCTCCTACGCTTCCGTCGCCGTTGCTGCTGTTGCTGCTGTTGCTGCTGCTGCTGCTGCTGCCGGTGTTGCTATTACCCCCGCTGCACTTGCTGCTGTTGCTGTTGCTGTTGCTGTTGTTGCGGCTGCTGCCGTTGCTATTGCTGTCTCCGTTTTTCACGATGTTTCCGTTGCTGCTGCTGCTGTTGCTGTTACTGTTGTTGTTGCTGCAGCTATTGCTGTTGCTGTTGCTGCTGCCGCTGCTGATATTGCACATGCCGCTGCTGCTGCTGCTGCTGCTGTTCTGTCCAGCTTCCTTTAGCCTCAACTCTGCTCTTAGGAAATCAATCTCTTTCTTCATGCGAATAAGCTGCTGCAGCAGCCACTGGTCACCCTGCTGCTGCTGCTGCAGCTGCTGCAGCTGCTGCTGCAGCAGCTGCTGCTTGCTCGCAAGCTGGCACTGGAAGCTTGCTGCTGATCCTACTGAGCAAGTTGTAGAAGGTGTGGGGACTGCAGCAGCAAACCCGCGAGCTGTGCGCAGAGCTGCTGCTGCTGCGGCTGCTGTTGCTGCTGTTGCAGCTGGAGCAGCAGCAGCACCAGGTAAAGACAAAGCCCCGGCATCAACACAAGACTCCGCGCTGTCTACAAGAGACAGCCCTGAGATACCGAAGTCGTTTGCTGCTGCCTCAATGTCAAGTTGCTGCTGCTGTTGCTGCTGCTGCAGCAACACCTGCTGCTGCTCTATATAATTCCTCCTCACGCGCCTTACTGTACCTGGCGCAGCAGCAGCAGCTGCTGCAGCTGCAGCTGCTGCAGCACTGGACTCCGTACGGATGAAGCTTGAAGCAGCAACGACATTATCGAAGCCAAATTGCTGTTGCTGCTGCTCTTGCTGCTCATGCTGCTGCCGCTGCTGCTGCTGCCGCTGCTGGTTCGGCCTCCGGCGTAGCTGCTCCTCTAAAGCAGCAGCTGACGAAGGAGAGAGCTTCAGAGTCTCCTCAAGTGGAGACACAGATACACCTGCTGCTGCTGCTGCTGGTGCTGCGCTGCTGCCAATGGGGGGTGCGGAGAAGACCTGCAGAGAGCGAGAGGCATCTGCTTCAGCAGCAGCAACATTTGCTGCTGCTGCTGCTGCTGCTGCAGCTGCAGCTGCTGCTGCGCCTCTGTCGCCCCACTTGGACGCAACACCATCTGCAGGCTGCAGCCTTAAGAAGTCTTCAGCAGCAGCAGCATCCGCATGCAAGCTGCTGCTGCTGCTGTTGTTGCTGCTGCTGCCGTTCAACAACCCCAATCCCGCAGTTGCTGCAGCAGCAAATGCAACCCGGTCTCCAGCAGAAGAGATCAAGCTGGTGGAGCAACCGTGCTGCTGTTGCTGCTGCAGCAGTTCGTGGTGAAGAGAATCTAGCTGCTGCTGCTGCTGCTGTTGCTGCTGCTGAGCAAGCAGTTGCTGCTTCAGCTGCGGCTCCTCTCCAGAGAAGAAATCCAAGTCGTGGATGTAAGAACGGCTTTCTGCTGCTGCTGCTGCTGCTGCTGCCGCTGCTGCTGCTGCTGTGTGGGGTGGCGTGCTGCGGCTGATGCCTTCCTGTCTGCCTAACGGGTCGCGGCATAGTTCATGCTGCTGCTGCTGCTGATGTTGCTCCAGCTGTCTCCGCAGCTGCAGCTCAAGGAGATCGTGCTGCTGCTGCGGCTGCTGCTGCTGTTGACCCTGCAGCAAATGCTGCAGCTGCGCCTCTAGGTGGCTGTCTCTCAGCAGATCTGGCTCATGAAGATGCAGCAGGTGCTGCTGCTGCGATTGCTGCTGCTCCTGCTGCAGCAGCACCTCTTGCTGCTTACGGCGCAGCACTAGTTGCTGCCTATCCCGCAGCAGGTCTTGTTGCACCAAATCTTGCTGCTGCTGCAGCAAGTCCTGCTGCTGCTGCAGCAGATCCTGCTGCAGCAGGTCTTGCTGCTGCTGCTGCTCTGGCTGCAGCGAGGTATGCAGCAGCAAATCGGAATGGCGGCGTGCGCGGAGCAAGAGCTCCTCCTGCGGCTGCTGGTGCTCCTGTTGCTGCTGTAGCTGCTGCTGCAGCTGCTGCTGCAGCAGATGCTGCTCCCGCTGCAGCATTAACTCAGCAGAAGCAGCACCAGATATAGCTGGAGACGGTGCGGGAGACAACACATCAGAGCTTGTAAGGGGGAGCGAGCTGCTAATGCTTGCTGTTGAAGGAAGCACAGAATCGAGACGCTGCTGCAGCTGCAGCAGCAGCTGTTGCTGCTGCTGCTGCTGGTGCTGCTGCTGATGCTGCTGCTGCAGCTGCTCTTCTGTGGAACCCAAACCCCACGCGCCTGTGGGGTGTGAGTAGTACTGCACTGCTGCTGCTGCTGCTGCAGCAAAGTCAGATGCGCTGTTGTGTGACGGCAGCTGCAGCTGCAGCTGTTGCTGCTGTTGTAGCTGTTGCTGCTGTTGCAGCTGCTGCTGCAGCTGGCGCTGCTGCAAGTGTTGCTGCTGCAGCTGTTGCTGCTGCTGCAGCATCATGAGCGCCAGTGACGGGTCTCTAGCAGCAGCAGCAAGTGTTGCTGCAGCAGCAGCAGCAGCAGAAACGGGCTCTTGAAGCCAGTTCTGATCCTGCAGCACCTCCTGCCTACCAGAAGCAGCAGCTACAGCAGCATTTGCTGCTGTAGCATTAACACCATACATCGCATAGGTTGCTGCTGCATTGCTGCTGCAGTTGGATTTTGCGTTTGTTTGTGCTGCAGTGTTTTCGTGTTCTGCTGCAGCAGCTGCTGCTGCAGCTGCAGCAGCAGCAGCAGCAGCAGCAGCAGGAGGTGCAGCAGGAGGAGGCCTGACAACAAGGTCTTGAAGAGACAAAGGCAGCAGCTTCTCATCACCGTTCTTAAGCTGAATTCGTAGCTTCTTACCCCCCACACATCTCTCTGATAAAGAGCGATAAGCAGCAAATGCTGCTTCTCTGTCTCCAAACGAAGCAAAACCGTAGCCTCTACCGCATGCACAAGTCTGCAGCAGCAAAGGGCTCTCTGCGCAATGCATTAGCTGCCAGTTGTTGCTGCTGCTGCTGCTGCTACCTGCAGCAGAAGTAGTACTTAGAACCCCACCGCTCCCGCTGCTGCTAGAAGGCCCAGAAGCAGAGGAGCTACCCCCTGCTGCACCACCAGCAGCAGCAGCTGCTGCTGCTGCAGCAGCAGCAGCAGCAGCAGCAGCAGCATTCTTATCTGCTGAGCCGCAAGGCACTCTTATCCCTACTACATGTCCAAAGGGGCCTACCAACTTCATTAATTCTAACTCTCTCCATCCAGTCGGGATCCCATACAAAAACAAATTCGCACCTGCACATACACCCCAAACCCTAAACCCTAAACCCTAAACCCTAAACCCTAAACCCTAAATCATATCAGCAGTAAACCCTTAAATCTAAACCCTACACCCTAAATCATATCAACAGTAAACCCTTAACCCTAAACCCTAAACACTAAATCATATCAACACTAAACCCTAAACCTCCTAAACCTCCTAAACCCTAAACCCTAAACCCTAGACCTCCTAAACCCTAAACCCTAAACCCTAAACCCTAAGTCATATCAGCAATAAACCCTTAACCCTACACCCTTAACACTAAATCATATTAATACTAAGCCCTAAACCTCCAAAACCCTAAACCCTAAACCACCTAAACCCTAAACCCTAAACCCTAAACCCTAAACCCTAAACCCTAAACCCTCTTACCTGGGGGTCCGTCTTTGAGGAGTACAAATGAAGTCTTTTTGGTTTGTTCTGCTACTGCTAAGGCATCAACAATGCAATAGCCTCCTTTAAGAGTAATTAAACCCTCTCTAAAGCCGCTTCTTGATAAAGAGCGTAGCACACGTTGATGCTGCTGCAGATGGTGCTGCTTCTTCTGTCTTGACAGCAGCAGCAGACGCTGCTGCACCTCCTCTTGGAGCAGCGTAAGCATTCCTGCAGATGCATCCTTGCTGCTGCTATTGCTGCTGTTGCTGTTGCTGTTGCTGTTATTATTATTATTATTGCTGCTGTTCTTAGAAGCCTCTCCTGATCCTGCTGCTGCTGCTGCTGCTGATGTTGCTGTTGCAGCGAGTGTAGCGGCTGCAGCAGCACTGCTGCTTGCTCCTCCTTTGTTATTACTGTTGCTGCTATTATTATTATTGCTGCTGCTGCTGCTGCTGCTATCAGGAGCAGCAGCATCGCCGTTAATGCAGAAGACTTCCATCCGGGTCAGAGGCAAACGAGTCAAAGGATAGTCTGCTGCTTCTCGGCACGAAACAAGAGAATGAGGAGGGGCACCCTAGCAAATAAAACAAAATAAATAAATAAATAAATTAATTAATTAATTAATTAATTAATTAATATGCTCATCATGTAGTTGTGTGCAGCAAAAGAAAAAACTATAATACAAACAGCAGCAGCAAAAAGAACGGCAACAGCAGCAAACCAGCAGCAGAAATAACAGCAACAGCAGCAAATCAGCAGCAACAGTAACAAGCCAGCAACAACAGCAGCAAGCTAGTAGCAGCAGCAGCAACCCATCAGCAGCAACAGCTGCAGCAGCAGCAGGAGGAGGACGTACAGAGAAGAGTCTTCTGCCGTGAAAATATGCTGCTGCTCTATCTGCTGCTTCTTCAGAAGCAAAATCAATCAGTGCGGTACCCCACACCCCCGGCATAGGGTTATATATGATGCCTGTTACTGTTGCTGCTGCTGCTGCTGCTGCTGCTAGCAGCGTTTGCTGCGCAACACCGGGAGGGATGTTTCCTACAAAGACGCGACCTCCTTTACGTCGACGGCCGTGCTGCAGCTGCAGCTGCTGCTCTTGTTGCTGCTGCTGTTGCTGCTGCTGCTGCTGTTGCTGCTGCTCTTGCTGCTGCTGCTGCTGTTGCTGTTGCTGCTGCGGCTCGTTCGCCAGTGCAAGGAAAGAAGACCCCACCTGTTGCTGCTGCTGTTGCTTCTGCTTCTGCTGCTGCTGCTCGCCCCCACGTCCTTGTACACGGGGCAGGAAGCTCTTTGCTGCAGCAACTGCAGCAGCAGCAGCAGCAGAATTTGTTGCTGCTGCTCCTTCCAAGCGGCCTCCAGCAGCCACCCGTTGCTGTCCCTCGCTGCTGCTGCTACTGCTGCTGCTGCTATTGTTGTTATTGTGTGCAGAAACAGCAGGGAGGCTCTTACATACAACTCTCTGCTGCTGCCGCTGTTCGGGTTGCTGCAGCAGCTGGAGGCAGCCAACGGAAGCGGGCTGTCGTTGCTGCTGCTGCTGCTGTTGCTGCAGCTGCTGCAGCAGTTGCTGCTGCAGATGTTGTTGTTGCTGCTGCTGCTGGAGCTGCTGCTGCAGGTGCTGCTGCAACTGCTCCTGCTGCTGCGGCCTACTCTTTCTGCTGCTGCGGTCTTTACTCTCCTTCTTCGAGGGAGAAGCACCTCCTGCTGCTGCAGCTGCAGCGACTGCTGCTGCTGCTTCCGCAGCAGCAGCGCCTTCAGCAAACTGCTGCAGAGAGCCCAGCGACAGCCTTCGGCGCATCTGCCGCGGGATCTGCTGCTGCTGTTGCTGTTGCTGTTGCTGCTGCTGCTGCTGTTGCTGTTGCTGCTGTTGCTTCAGGGTGTCGGCAACGGCGTCCGTTTGTTGTTGGAGTTCCCGGGGTAGCCCCAACTCCAGGGAACTGTTGCTGCTGCTGCTGCTGCTGTTGCTGCTGCTGCTGCTGCTGCTGTTGCTGCTGCTGCTGCTAGGTTTGCTAGATTTGCAATCGCGCCCCAGGATTGCTGCCGCTGGAGGAAGCAGAGGCAGCACATCCGCTGCGGGGGTAGTAACAGGTGCAGCAGCAGGACAGACAGTAGCCGCAGGCGGGGGTTCCCGTCG